CAATTCATTCTAATGAGGACATTAGAGCACTCAGGATGATTTGAAAAGACTGAAGCAATGGTCGGAGAAGTGGCAGATGAGTTTAATATTGACAAATGCAAAGTTCTAAATGTTGGACAGTTAAAAACCATGCCACATATAAACTAAATAATGTAGATCTTAATTTCTACTGATTGCGAAAAGGATTTAGGAGTTCTGGTTGCAGTAACCTGAAACCAAAGACAACAGTGCTTAGTGTTCGCAATAAAGCAACAGAATTCTTGGCTTCATATCTAGAAGTATAAATAAAGAAGTTTCCCCAGGTTTTTTCTTCAACTCTTTATATCCTTGGTTGGCATCATTTAGATTATGCTGCACAGTTCTGGTTACCGTATTACAGAATGGATATAAATGCATGGAAACGTTCAAGGAGGATGACAAGATGATCCCATGTATCAGAAATCTTTTCCCCATGAGGATAGCCTGAGGGCGCTGAATCTGCACTCTCTCGAAAGGCGTAGAATAAGGGGGGGGGGGATATGATCGAGGTGTATAAATGGAAAACAGGAATAAATAAAGGGGATGTAAATAGCGAGCTGAAAATTTCCAGCCAAGACAGGACTCGCAGCAATGGTTTCAGGTTGGAAAAATTCAGATTCAGGAAGGATATAGGAAAGCACTGGTTTGGTAATAGAGTTGTGGATGAGTGGAACAAACTCCCGAGTACAGTTATTGAGGCTAAAATGTTGTGTAGTTTTAAAAATAGGTTAGATAAATACATGAGTGGGTGTGGGTGGGTGTGAGTTGGACCTGACTAGCTTGTGCTACTGGGTCTGATGCAGTGCTCCTTCCTTGAGTGGAGATGACCAGACTGGATGGGTCATTGGGATAATCCGGGGAGGGGGACATGGACCTGCTCCGTATGGGTCAGTAGGCCTGTTGCAGTGTTCCTTCTTTCTTATGTTCTTATGTTCTTAACTGTCACTGCCTTTTTTTCTCTCTCTCGTATATTCTCTTGTATAGTCTGGTTTCCTGTGAACATACTCTGAAAGGACTGTTTTCTCTCACTCCCTTTTATTTTTTTTTGCTCCTCTATCCCTCTCAATTACTTAACATCTTTTGTTAATTTTGCTTTCATTGCTTCTTTTCTCTAAGGCTGTTGTTCTCTCCCATTTATTCACCTCAAGTGTCGACTTCTTGTTTCTTTTGTATCCTCTTGAATTTTTTGTTAGTTTCCTCTCGGATTTCTTCTAGTTACAAATGCAATTCCTCCTTCATTTTAGTTTGTAATGAAGCCATAATGAGTTCCAATTATGGATTCCCATTCATCCTTCTGCATACTCTCGTTGTTTCTTTCCATCTTGTTTCTAGTGTACTCCCATGTATCTCCTACCACTTTTCTTGTCTTGTAATTCTCTCTCTCTCTCATATATATATTATATATATATATATAATTTTATATTATATATATATATAATATATATATTTTATATATATATATATTATATATATATATATATATATATAGAGGGCCACAGATATATCAGAAACAATTTTAGTTGTAGCTACATGAGAGTAAAAGGTAGATGGATACAAGGAAGAATTGAAGCATCAGGGAAGAGAGAGGTGAAGGTTTATAAACTAAAAAGGGAGGCAGTTAGGGATAGTTATAAACAGTTATTGAGGATAGATGGGCTAATGAGAGCATAAACATGGGGTTCAAAGAGGTAAAGGGGTGGGTTTTAAAAATGTAGTGTTTGGTTTTTCAGCAGAAGTTTGTGGTTACAGAAAGTGGTTTGCGGGGGGGAAGAGGAGCGATTGGTGGAATGATAATGTAAAGAGAGTAGTAAGGGAGAAAAAATTTTAGCATATGAGAAGTTTTTACAAAGTAGAAGTGATGCAGGAGGGAAGAGTATATGGAAAAAAAAGAGAGAGGTTAGGAGTGGTGAAGGCAATGTAAAGAGAGCAAATGAGAGAGTGGGTGAGATGTTATCAACAAATTTTGTTGAAAATAAGAAAAGTTTTGGAGTGAGATTAACAAGTTAAGGAAGCCTAGATAACAAATGGATTTGTCAGTTAAAAATAGGAGAGGAGAGTTATTATATGGAGAGTTAAAGGTATTGGGAAGATGGAAGGAATATTTTGAGGAATTGTTAAATGTTGATGAAGATAGGGAAGCTGTGATTTCGTGTATAGGGCAAGGAGGAATAACATCTTGTAGGAGTGAGGAAGAGCCCATTTGTGAGTGTGGGGGAAGTTCGTGAGGCAGTAGGTAAAATGAAAGGGGGTAAGACAGAGGGATTGATGGGATAAAGATAGAAATGTTTAAAAGCAGGTGGGGATATAGTTTTGGGGGTGGTTGGTGCAATTATTTAATAAATGTATGGAAGAGGGTAAGGTACCTAGGGATTGGCAGAGAGCATGCATAGTTCCTTTGTATAAAGGCAAAGGGACAAAAGAGAGTGCAAAAATTATAGGGGGATAAGTCTGTTGAGTATACCTGGTAAAGTGTTATGGTAGAGTTATTATTGAAAGAATTAAAAGTAAGACGGAGAATAGGACAGCAGATGAACAAGGAGGCTTTAGGAAAGGTAGGGGGGTGTGTGGACCAGGTGTTTACAGTGTGAAACATATAAGTGAACAGTATTTAGATAAGGCTAAAGAGGTCTTTGTGGCATTATGGATTTGGAAAAGGCGTTGACAGGGTGGACAGGGGGCAATGTGGCAGATGTTGCAGGTGTATGGTGTAGGAGGTAGGTTACTGAAAGCAGTGAAGAGTTTTTACGAGGATGTGAGGCTCAAGTTAGAGTACATAGGAAAGAGGGAAATACTTCCTAGTAAAAGTAGGCCTTAGACAAGGATGTGTGATGTCCCGTGGTTGTTTAATTATATTTATAGATGGGGTTGTAAGAGAAGTAAATGCGAGGGTCTTGACAAGAGGCGTGGAGTTAAAAGATAAAGAATCACACATGAAGTGGGAGTTGTCACAGTTGCTCTTTGCTGATGACACTGTGCTCTTGGGAGATTCTGAAGAGAAGTTGCAGGAGATTGGTGGATGAATTTGGTAGGGTGTGCAAAAGAAGGAAAATTAAAAGTGAATACAGGAAAGAGTAAGGTTATGAGGATAACAAAAATATTAGGTGATGAAAGATTGGATATCAGATTGGAGGGAGAGAGTATGGAGGAGGTGAATGTATTCAGATATTTGGGAGTGGACGTTGTCAGCGGATGGGTCTATGAAGGATGAGGGGGAAAAAGGGTGTGAGTGGTGCACTTAGGAGTCTGTGGAGACAAAGAACTTTGTCCTTGGAGGCAAAGAGGGGAATGTATGAGAGTATAGTTTTACCAACACTCTTATATGGGTGTGAAGCATGGGTGATGAATGTTGCAGCAAGGAGAAGGCTGGAGGCAGTGGAGATGTCATGTCTGAGGGCAATGTGTGGTGTGAAATAATGCAGAGAATTCGTAGTTTGGAAGTTAGGAGGAGGTGCGGGATTACCAAAACTGTTGTCCAGAGGGCTGAGGAAGGGTTGTTGAGGTGGTTCGGACATGTAGAAAGAATGGAGCGAAAACAGAATGACTTCAAGAGTGTATCAGTCTGTAGTGGAAGGAAGGCGGGGTAGGGGTCGGCCTAGGAAAGGTTGGAGGGAGGGGGTAAAGGAGGTTTGTGTGCGAGGGGCTTGGACTTCCAGCAGGCGTGCGTGAGCGTGTTTGATAGGAGTGAATGGAGACGAATGGTTTTTAATACTTGACGTGTGTTGGAGTGTGAGCAAAGTAACTTTTATGAAGGGGTTCAGGGAAACCGGCAGGCCGGACTTGAGTCCTGGAGATGGGAAGTACAGTGCCTGCACTCTGAAGGAGGGGTGTTAATGTTGCAGTTTAAAAACTGTAGTGTAAAGCACCCTTCTAGGCAAGACAGTGATGGAGTGAATGTGGTGAAAGTTTTTCTTTTTCGGGCCACCCTGCTTGGTAGGAATCGGCCAGTGTGATAATAAAAATAAATATATATATATATATATATATATATATATATATATATATATATATATTATATATATATATATATATTTTATATATATATTATATATATATATTTTATATATATATATATAATATATATTTATATATATATATATTTAATAATTCGCAAACAGGTGAAATTATTTACAAATATTGTCTCTACGTCCACAGCAGGACTCGAACCTGCAAACTCTGTATCAAGAGTCGACAGTACCTTACCACGGAGTCAGATCCCAGATAAGTATGGGCGCCTAGTCGGAACTAAACGATATTTCCCCATACCCTGGGCCACCAGGCTTGTTTTCAAAGTTATTTTATCATATCCTGCCACATGCAGTGGACAACGAAAGAGATTTGAAATGCTTAACAACTTTGCGAACAACTGGGATGTGAACATGCCAATTGTTCCAAGAATTTGGTCCTCATTACTGTACACGTGTTAAGAAATTTGAAGGAAATGTGTTGAGGCGTTCTGGAGTTACAAGCAAAATAAATTCGAAAAGTTGGAGGAAGAAAAAAATTCATGGAGATTCTTCAAGGCATCCCTCCGGAGATACCTTGAATATTATCAGGTATCCCTCCGGGGATATCTGTTAACATTCTAAAATCACTATGGAACTTACCATACATACAGCATTTTTGTTAAATAATAGGTGGTGTTTCCAGCTGTGTGACCATGATGCAGTGGTGCTGGTGTACAATATATGAAAAAAAATCATCGCGTTTTGCGCATCGATGCTCTAAGTCAGTGCAAATTTATATTCTTAATATTGTTGATTTTCATAAATTTTAAGTGACTGGTCTGTTTACAGGACATCATCATGGGAAGAATTTACAGCCACTCGAACATAGTTTTATTGACAAGAGACACTTTGTTTGTTGCCAGAAATCACCTACATCTGGTAGAAAATTCACACAAAGACAATTTACTGCAGTAAGAAAGATATTACAAAAGTCTAAGCATTCCTTGATTTATTATCACACTAATTTTATTTTTCCAGATGAAAGTAGTACTATTGGTGACTCTGGTTGGACTGGCGGCGTGCCAGTTCGGGTTCCAACCACAGAGACAGTTTTTCCAACCTCAAAGACAGTTCTTCAGGGGCCCACCTCAACAACAGTTCTTCAGGGGCCCACCTCAGGGCTTTAACAGATTCGTGCCACAAGGCGGGTTTGGTGTCCAGGTGAGACCATGATCGTCAGAGAGAATGTATGAAACCTGATTGGCCTAGTGTATATGGAATATGTGGCATTCTTCTAACATGACAGAGAAGGTAACTCTTTTGTCTCATGTTAGAGATCATCACCAACAAATTAGCTGGTCCTCTGCTTAAACTATCTACCACTCTTCCAGTCTTCACAGACGCCGTCTTGTAAAATCGATCCTTTAATCCAGCATTCCTAACATGAATCTTAGTTCCAATTACGTCTCTGGTAAAGCCTGAGAGAAGGACAGGGGAATAGTTTCGCGATCCTGTAATAATCCTTCATGGAATGTATTTGTAGATTTTGTTAAGAATATATTTATATTGTAGCCTGACGACGTTCGTGGTGGCAGTGCCTACTACTTCTCTTGGAGACACGACGGTGGTAGACAGTACACTGGCAATGCTGCCTTCGGTGTGTGTCGAAGTCTAGGAGGCGGGTGGCAGCCCGTGGGTATTAGCTCCCCTGATGAATCCAATTACATCAACAGCATTGTCGGAGGAGGTTAGCTTCACTTGCTCTACGTGTATCTTAAATTTCCTGTATAAAATTTAGCCTGCACGTCATCTTGTTTATTTTATGTAATACTGGTTAATGAATGTGAAATATTTATAAAATGATAACGTAAATTACGTTAATGTTCAACATTTTTTTTCGCCATTAGTATTATACCTGTTTAATCTCTCGTTTGCTTATCAAGTCTTATTTTGTGTGTGTGTGTGCAGAGGGACTGCAGTATATCTGGACCGGTGCTGTTAAATCTGGCCGTGGCTTCGCATGGTTGAACGGCGAGCCTTTCAATTTTGCTGACTGGTCCCACACAGGGGGGTAAGTTGCGCACACAGCAGTCTTCTAGACTGTTAAGAAAGAGTTTGACTCGTCGCCATACACATTATTACTTAAAGAATGCTAGATATGCAAACACAATTAGAAGACACATTATGGCTAAACAAATTCCACGAATATAGGAATGAAGTTATGCAGGGTATAACCAGCAGTGACCCACAGTGTTTATACCAGGTCAAATAATGTGCTTAGAACACGTTAGAAACTACTGACAGGAGCGACTATTACATATCCATTTCCACAGATACCAATAGTTTGAGGAGGATAGTAAAGAAAAGTAACAGTAGTCCACAAATAAAGTACGGCATAAAAAAATAAGGAAAGAATAAAAATGGGGAATATTAGACTGTTCATTTGTTAAAAGGGAACACTAGAGTTTCATAATAAGATCATCAAATCAGAGGAAAATAAGCATTTCTAAATAAAATCAAATTAAAACAAGGGTTTGTAAGGCAACGATTCACCTCGATATTAATATTAATATTAATATTAATATTAAAAATACCCGTTTCAAAAATTCTCTCAAATTATTTATTTAACTTAAGCTCTATTTAGGCATTTTTCAAAAGAATTTGGTAATTTTTTAATATTATTATTATTATTATTATTATTATTATTATTATTATTATTATTATTGTTGCTAGTAGTAGTAGTAACAGAAGCAGTAGAATTAGTAGTATTAGTAGCAATAGTAGTAATGGCAGTGATAATAGTAGTAGAAGTAGCTGTAGCTATAATAGTAGTAAGACTTGAAGTAATAGTAGTAGTTGAATAATTGAAGTGATAGTCGTAGTAATAGTGTTTGAAGTATCAATAACAGTAGTATGGCAATAGACGTAGTAGTAGTAGTAGTAGTAGAAGTAGTAGTAGTAGTAGTAGTAGTAGTAGAAGTAGTAGTAGTAGTAGAAGTAGTAGTATTAGTAGCAGTAGAAGCAGCGGTAGTAGTTGTAGTAGTTGCAGTAGTAGTAGTAGAAGTAGTATTAGTAGTAGAATTAGTAGTAGTAGTAGTAGTAGTAGCAGTAGTAGAAGTAATAGTACTAATAGTAGTATTAATTGTAGTATTAGTAGTAGTAGAATTAGTAGTCTTAGTAGTAGCAGTAGTACTACTTGTAGAAGTAGAAGTATTCAAAGGGAAGTAGTAACAGTAGTATTGGTATGTTCTGTAGGAGACACTAAACCCGTGAGGGCCATACAGAGCTTGGGAATGGGAAGTAACTAGGTTTGACCCAAAACATAAGATTTTTCCAATTCTTCGGATTAATTGCCTTTAAACATTCATGTTTCATGAATCGTGGTCTCTCCTCCCATAAATGTTTCTCTGTACAGTAAGTCCTCACTTAACGTCGTTTTATTATAACGTTCATGAGAAAAAAAACCGATACCTAGCCTGACCCACTGTCTGTGTGAATTTACACGTTTGTGTTTGAACTATGTGGTGGGAGAAGATGCTCCTTACAATTTTTACTTGCAAACATTTATTCCTTGATTTAATCCTGTTGCAATGAATGCTAAAAGTGCACTGTGCACCCGTGATGTTTATATCAATTAGCCAGTGGCAAAATTGGTTTTGTTATACGTCGTTTCATTTAAAGTCGCAGTTTCCAAGCACTATCGACGACGTTAAATGAGGACTTACTGCATATGGAAGGTTATATAATGTGTAACGAGTTCTGGTGTTTGTTACAGAGCTCGCCGACCTCAGCCCGACAACCGTGAGGGTGGTCAGGAGAACTGCCTGGCCGTCCTCAACAACTTCTATGGTGATGGTATCAAGTGGCATGACGTAGCCTGTCACCACGAGAAAGCTGTCATCTGTGAACGTCGTGCTTAGATCTCTCTCTCTCTATCTCTCTCTCTCTCTCTCTCTCTCTCTCTCTCTCTCTCTCTCTCTCTCATTCTCCTCATTTTCCTCCCATACCTCCCTATAACTATCTCCCAAACGTCTCCTCACTGTCACAACTCCTCACTTTCTCATACGGAAACTCGCTACAGGAAGATCAATATTACTGTGAGCATGTCATAAACCCGGCCCCTATTCTTCCCTCTCTATCGCTTAATACAACTCCTTCCACTATGTTCTCAGCTCTCATTCCGCCTGTAGTTCATGTCAGCTAAGTGCTCTTGTTCTGGATCTTACCAAACGTTTCACTTGCAGTATTTTCAACCATTCTTTACGCCTAATAATATTATTTCTAAAAATAAGGAGTATTACAAGATCTTTTAGCTGAGAATTCATCCAATATATTTTTCTCCTGATATATACATATATATATATATATATATATATATATATATATATATATATATATATATATATATATATATATATATATATATATATATATATATATATATATATATATATTATATATATATATATATATATATATATATATATATATATATATATATATATATATATATATATATATATATATATATATATATTTATCTTGATTTATAGCTTAAGAACTGCTTTTTTTTTTAAACCAACTTGTTACATTATGAAGATAATAAATTAAATATAATAATTTTATAATACTTTAGATTTTTATTTCTCTTCTACTGTTTTGTACATTATCGAATGCGTTGTATCAAAAAATGTTTTTTTTGTTAAATGTTGTTATGATGAAAGTTACGTTATGTTAATTGTTGTATGATGAGTGTACAGTTACTGTTACGATAACTGTTGTTATGATGAGTGTACAGTCTACTGTTATGATGACTCTTCAGCCTCTGTACTGTTAAGATAAATGTACAGTTTCTCTACTGTCACCATAGTTGCTGATCCCCTGCATATGTTTGTGTAGCATATCTGAGTATCGTAGTTAGTACAATCTATATATTTTATACAGACGATCCCTTGCTAGGTCTAGGGGCTAGCATGTGACGTCACGTGATGCCACATGTGAGCGTCAGTCGCCCTGCCCCTCTCTCAGTTCCCGCACGGACCTACAGGTGACTATAGGCAGGCTGGGCCTTACCCTCACAACTCTGCTAATACAACCCAACAAGTGTGTCTGTCTCCATCCATCATATCTCTATGGAACCCTCCCAACACTACTGCCATGATGAACTGATTGTATCTCTGTTATGATGTATGTACAGTCTGTTATTGGGGATGTTTGACAGGATGGATAATGAGAACCTTCAAAACTAGGGAGGCCAAGCCCATGACGACACTCTTCAGGTCACTTGTTCTATCTAGGCTGGAATATTGCTGCACACTAACAGCTCCTTTCAAGGCAGGTGAAATTGCTGACCTAGAAAATGTACAGAGAACCTTCACGGCGCGCATAACGGAGATAAAACACCTCAATTACTGGGAGCGCTTGAGGTTCCTAAACCTGTATTCCCTGGAACGCAGGAGGGAGAGATACATGATTATATACACCTGGAAAATCCTAGAGGGACTAGTACCGAACTTGCACACGAAAAATCACTCACTACGAAAGCAAAAGACTTGGCAGACGATGCAACATCCCCCCAATGAAAAGCAGGGGTGTCACTAGCACGTTAAGAGACCATACAATAAGTGTCAGGGGCCCGAGACTGTTCAACTGCCTCCCAGCATACATAAGGGGGATTACCAACAGACCCCTGGCAGTCTTCAAGCTGGCACTGGACAAGCACCTAAAGTCGATTCCTGACCAGCCGGGCTGTGGCTCGTACGTTGGTTTGCGTGCAGCCAGCAGTAACAGCCTGGTTGATCAGGCTCTGATCCACCAGGAGGCCTGGTCACAGACCGGGCCGCGGGGGCGTTGACCCCCGGAACTCTCTCCAGGTAAACTCCAGGTATAATAATAACAGTATAATAATAATAATAATAAATTAATAATAATAATAATAATAATAATATATAATAATAATAATAATAATAATAATAATAATATAATAATAATAGAAAAATTAATAATAATAATAATATAATAATAGTAATAATAATAATAATAATAATAATAATAATAATAATAATAATAAATAATAATAATAATAATAATAATAATAATAATATACGAGTGTCTACTATTGTCTTAACTAGATTTAGATTTTGCTGGCGAACTGGCTGGTTTATTGTGCATCAATATCCATCCTGTGGACGGGAGCGCAAGAACATGTGGATACACAAAAGACTTAGGAATTAGTCCTCGATAGGATTAACAGGAGCACATCTGGATTTAGATCTAAATTTCAGTTATCTGTTATAAGCAAATTTAGGATATTTGCTTAATATGCCTAGTATCTTATTGTCATAATAATAATAATAATAATAATAATAATAATAATAATAATAATAATAATAATAATAATAATAATAATAATAATAATAATATATAATAATAATAATAATAATAATAATAATAATAATATATAATAATAATAATAATAATAATAATAATAATAATATATATATAAAATAATAATAATATATTATAATGATAATAATAATAAATAATAAATAATAAAATAATAATAATAATAATAATAATAATAATAATAATAATAATAATAATAATAATATTTACAAGTACATGTGCATGGTATACAGGCCTAACTGACATCAATGACATACTACTATATAGAAAGCCCCTTCTCATGCTGAACATTTCGGGCAAATTAGGTCAGTTTTGTCCCAGGATGCGACTCACACCAATCGACTAACACCCAAGTACCCTTTTTAAACTGATAGGTGAACAGGGACAGCAGGTGTCTTGTGGAAACACGTCCCTAATGTTTTCCAGCCGTACCGGAGGAGATTCGAACCCCGGACTTCACTGTGTGAGCTGAGTGCGCTAGTGATCGAGCTACGGGACATTAACAAGATATCTTGACATATCACATAGGTTATTATACTGTATATATCTATAGTCTTCAATAAGTGGACAACAAAGCCAGAGTTCAAGAAAGTGACCACTGGACTGGCCACATGCATTGCATTTGGTTTTATCATCATCTGTGTGTCTGCCAAACTGTCAAAAGTACTTATAACCAAGCTTAAACCTGGCTACTACAACATCAGTCAGTCAGTTCACATTGCAAGTTGCTCCATAAACATACTTATCTACGTTCATGTTATCATAGTGGATTACAGATCTACTCAGACTTCTAACTGCATTGACAGGTCATTCATTTTCATTATTTACTTCTCTTGTAATATTATTCGTAATGCAAGACAGAGATAAACCAAACTAATAGTCTACATTTTCTTCAGGGTACTTTTTTGATTAATTTGTTAACTTTATCACGAAGGAGTAATCTAATGTGCGATGGAATCCACAACAATTGCACATTTAATAATTTTTTCCCGGATTTTTTAGTAAATATATGTGGCTTCTCCAATGAACATGCTGTTAGAGTCATTATGTGAGTCAAGAACCTTCAGTGATCACGAAGAGTCAGTAATAATTATAGTCAAGTTGAGTGTCATAAGTTAACTTTAACGCCAAAAGGATAATAAAAAATTCAGTTTGCAGTGTAGACGCCCAGTTGTTAATATTTATGCCTAACTTAACATAGTTCCTATCGTTATTATCTAGGGAGCTGGCAACAAGAACAGTTGCAGCCCAGCTAGTAGACTCATACTCAGATCCATTAGTGTACATAACTTGTAAAAAATATTACTAACAGTTCAACGAGAAGTGATTTAAGGAAGAGATTGCTAGTGATGAGATTTATGGGAGGAGCTTGCAGGTTTATGATATTATATGAAATATCTTCAATAGAGGAGTGAAATACTCTTGTTGTCTACAGTGATACAGTTCCGTACAGGTTATAAAACTTAATATAATTGCATGCTTTCACAACCCATTTCGAGATATGAGTAATTTACGTGTAGATATTTAGTAAGATTTGAAGTGACAGTGTCTGGTCCATTTCATAACATTATATTACCATGTACAGTATTATTCCCAGTTATCTAGCTATTGAGCGCTATGCGATTTTCTAATATTATAAAGAGTGTTTGTGTTGTTAAAATTAGTGTTTGTGCTGAGTTACTGCTGTTGTTATAATTAGTGTTTGTGCTGAGTTACTGGTGTTGTTATAATTAGTGTTTGTACTGAGTTACTGCTGTTGTTATAATGAGTGTTTCTGCTGAATTACTCGTGTTGTTATAATTAGTGTTTGTGCTGAGTTACTGCTGTTGCTATAATGAGTGTTTGTGCTGAGTTACTGCTGTTGTTACAATGAGTGTTTGTACTGAGTTGCTGTTGTTGCTATAATGAGTGTTTGTGCTGAGTTACTGCTGTTGTTATAATGAGTGTTTCTGCTGAATTACTGGTGTTGTTATAATTAGTGTTTGTACTGAGTTACTGCTGTTGTTATAATGAGTGTTTGTGCTGAGTTACTGCTGTTCTTATAAAGAGTATTTTTGCTGAATTACTGGTGTTGTTATATTGAGCGTTACTGCTGAGTTACTGCTGTTGTTATTATGAGTGTTTGTACTGAGTTGCTGCTGTTGTTATAATGAGTGTTTGTGCTAAGTTACTGCTGTTCTTATAATGAGTGTTTCTGCTGAGTTACTGCTGTTCTTATGAGTGTTTCTGCTGAGTTACTGCTGTTGTTATTATGAGTGTTTGTACTGAGTTGCTGCTGTTGTTATTACGAGTGTTTGTACTGAGTTCCTGCTGTTGTTAAAATGAGTGTTTCTACAGAGTTACTGCTGTTGTCATAATGAGTGTTTTTGCTGAGTTACTGCTGTTCTTATAATGAGTGTTTCTGCTGAGTTACTGCTGTTGTTATTATGAGTGTTTGTACTGAGTTGCTGCTGTTGTTATAATGAGTGTTTGTGCTGAGTTGCTACTGTTATAATGAGTGTTTGTGCTGAGTTACTGCTGTTGTTATAATGAGTGTTTGTGCTGAGTTACTGCTGTTGTTATAATGAGTGTTTGTATTGAGTTACTGCTGTTGTTATAAGAGTGTTTGTCTGAGTTACTGGTGTTGTTAAATGCGTGTTTGTACTTAGTTTGCTGTTGTTGCTATAATAGTGTTTGTGCTGAGTTATGCTTTTGTATAATGAGTGTTTGTAAATGAGTTACTGCGTTGTTATAATAAGGGGTTTGTTGTTGACTTATTGCTGTTGTTATAATGAGTGTTTGTGCTGAGTTACTGCTGTTGTTATAACGAGTGTTTGTACTGAGTTACTGTTCTTGTTATAATGAGTGTTTGTGCTGACTTACTGCTGTTGTTATAATGAGTGTTTGTGCTGAGTTACTGCTGTTATAATGAGTGTTTGTGCTAAGTTGCTACAGTTATAATGAGTGTTTGTGATGA